AAGCAGGCTTCCCGCTGAGCCGGGAGCCCGATGTGGGACTCGATCCCAGGACCCTGGGATCATGACCTGAGCCGAAGGCAGTCGCTTAACCAACTAAGCCACCCAGGCGCCCCAAGGAGAGGATTAAAAGGGGAATAAGACATGATCCCTGCCTTTCAGTTGCTCAAAGGGTATAGGTCCAGAGTAACTGCTCATTGAGGAGTTGCATCCTTGACTTTTACTAGCATGATGCTCTGAACCTAGCGACATGGGTACCTCACAGGGTCATATTGGTGGTGAAGGTGGTTTCTTAGCCCCATGGCGTGACATTTGAAAACTTTTCATTTTTAAATCTACTTTCCATTTGATGATAAAAATAATACAGACCCATTTTAGAAAATTAGGAAAATATTAAGAAGTATTCAAAAAAAACACCCACTGTCATGCCACCCAGAGGAAACCCTTATGGTATTTTGTTGTATTTCCTTCTAGTCTTTTCTTCTGTATAGATCCATGTTGGATCTTGTATTCTCTGTGTTATTTGTAAATAATATTCCACCTAATAATTTCATAATATTTCCTTGGTTTAAATCACTTTCATACATGAACAAACTCACAAGGTGATTATTTTTTAGGTTGAAAATACATTTTGGTGTAAGTTTTACAAAGGAAGCCCTGGAAGCAAGAGATATATGTATATATTTCTAAAATTTATATTTAGTTGAAGCAAAGTTCATTGCAGTTTACCAGATTTCTAACTTTATTCATTACTTTGCAGCTCTGAAGTTTATAGATTAAACTTAGAACAAGGCCGGTACTTGAATCCGCTACAGACTGATGCTGCGTGAGTGTTCTGTTGTGGGAATACTGCTGTATTTCTCTTGGCCAGGAGATGGAGTCAGAAGCTCAAGTTATCAGATGGCAGGTTGTGTTTAAAAGCTTAGGGCAACTTAGTTCAAAGGAGTATCATTTAGTCTTAAACGTAAAATTCACTAAAAGGCCTGGTGATTTCTTTAAAATTTTGATTTTTTTTTAATATCCTCGAAAATTTTATAACTCATTAAAAAGTTTTTTATTATTTTTTGCAGTGTTCTTTAAATTTTCATTTATGATTTTGTTCTGTGATATTATCTCTCAGAGAAATTTTGGATTAACTTGGAGTATCACTTTTTAAATTTTACTTTTTGTGTTTTTGCTGGCAGACATTTAAGGTTTTTTTCAAGTTTTCCCCTTTTTTCTTCACATTATAGTCTACATTTTTGTTTTATTCAGAGAGAAAGCCTTTAGGAATAAATTTGTCATAATATACTGAGTAATAATGACAATAATAATAGTGAAAGCACTTACTCTGTGCCAGTTGTTACTCAGTATTTTATACATATTAACTCATTTTAAACTTACAACAATTTTAGTATTATCATCTCCATTTTACAGATGGAACAGCTGAGGTGCAGAGAGGGTGAGTCCACAGTCACCCAGCTAGTAAGGGGTGGAAGCTAGGTTACTTCTCATCTAAGTGTATAAAGAGCTTGTTGGATTTTCCTTATTGCTTTGAAAGGGTTTTTAAAGGTTGGAAGAACATGTAGTGATAAAGGCCAGATTAACTCTCAGTAATTTTTTCCAGATATCCTTGAAATACTCTTAATTTTCTTCAAGAAAACTAGAATAACTTCATGATATATTGTTGAATAATAAAGAGTTATCTGCTCTTTAGCTGCATACGTTCCTGTTTGTAATAGCTATTATTTATTGAGTGTCTTGTAAGCTCTGGATTCCATGCCGAACATTTTGTCATTTTTTCATTTAATCCTCACAACAACTGAAAGAGGTAAAGTATCCATTTTACATAAAAAGAAGGTGAAGCTTTGATTAGTACATCTAACTCAAGCTCGTCCGGTCTCAGGACTGGCTTAGTTATAGCTTGTGTTCTTCCTGCCCTAGGAGAAGATATATTGAGAAAGTAGAATAAACCTTTATTCTCAAGGTGGTAGGATGGTATTTCAGAAGGAGTTCCTTTCTTGTCTCATCTCCTGGCAGATTGAGTATCATTCTGGGGATTCTTTCATGTCTGGTGCCTTTCACACATGGATGAGTAAGGAAGCACCTGCCCGTCTTCTTTCTCCACAGGATTGGGTTGACTATTTAGAAAGTTCACCGAGTATCCTTCCCGCCTAAAATAGGTAATAATACTTTCTCCCTTACTGCTTTACTGTTTCAGGGAGAATAATGTGTGTGACATAAACTCAGTACATGGCTTGTTTGCCACAGGAACGGTAGAGGTAAGCATACGTTGCCTTTATTTTTTAACTTACTTGTTTTGCATTTGATAATGAGTAGAGTTTTACTTAAAGACAGAGTTGCTTGTTCCTAAGAGCAGAGAGCTAATGGAGCAACAAGCCACTGGTTGGCTTTTTGTAGGAACATTGGTTCACACACAGGCCCGTTTGTTGCTGCAGACCGCCCCGTGGTGCGTCTGGTCCGGCACACTCTGACATGGATCATCTCTGACATTGATCCTTGGGAGCTAGAGGAGCGTCGCCAGCCTCCAGGGAGCAGTGGCAACACGACAGCCAGTTCTGTTCCTAACAGGAGGCACTCTGTCACGCAGTCCCAGCTCTCTGATACTTACCAGCTTTATGACTGAATTACTTTCCCTGAGGCTTAGTTTCCTCATCGGTGACATGGAGATAATGATAGCTTGCCAGCTTTGTGGAGGTGCAGGTGAGAGCCACACGGAGAAAGGCGAAGAGGATCGTGATCTGTACATCCTGTATGGTAGGATTCAAGAAATACACAACATTTCCCTTTTTAAACTGCAGTATTTTCGAATCCGTGTTCTTCATACTTGTCAAGAATTATCCTAGACTTGCATTTTTTTAATTATAATAAATACTCATAGTAAAAAAAAAAAAGTCAGAAATTTGTTATTGAAAAAGTGTTCTCTTATGCTTTCCAGTCACCAAATCCTACAACCTGGAGTTTTAACTCCTTAATGTTTTTTTTTAGGTCTATGCAGATACACATATGTGTTAGTCATATATTTTTTTAAAGTTTTTTAATAAAAGTAAAATTATACTTCTTCATTTGCTTTTTTAAATATGATATATAATATGCATCTTTATACGTTGGTACTTATAATTACTTATAATGCTAAACTAATTTTTTAAAACTGATGGGTAGGATTCCATTGTGTGAATGTACTGTAGTTTATGAAACCAATCCCAGATGGATGAAATTTAGGTCTCTACTCAAATTATTTTTATGTTAAGAGGTTAGAATTTGAAGTGAGAGTTGGTTTAATGAAAATATGTAAAACCGTTGAATATGTTATAATACTGTTGTGCCAAAATCGGGCCAATGAAGCATTTCCTTGGTAGGTACTTTTCTTGAGATTACCAAGGGGAAGTTTTAAAAACAGTTTCCTTGGAAAAAGTTTTTTAAGTAGAGTCCTTCCAGAGCAGTCTAATCCTTATAGACACGTGCTCTGTCAGAGCACTTATGTACCAGAGCAGGCTTTTCTCTCGCCAGCTGTTTGAAGACCATCCCTGAGGGGAGACTAGACCCCTTCTTGCCTAAAGGCTGAGGCTCCTAAAATTCCTGGATTACTGGGGGCTTGAAATTTGATAGGCAAAGTCAGACCAGACTTTAAAAATTCACTTTTACAATAATTTTGCTAGTATATGTTTGATTTTGATTTTGTCTGTGACAATTCTTATACTACTTATTATGATTGTCAAAATCAAACAGGACTTAACCTTTTGTGCATTTTGTGCTTTTTGAAGTACAAAAAAGTGCAGGCTTTAGCAATAGAAATACTCAAATTTCAGTCACAGAAAATCATTATGGTTTAAAAAAACCATTTTTATTTATTCTGGAATTTATCTGCATACCTATTTTTTGTTTTTGAAATGTGACTTTTCTTTTTTATGTCCATAAAGTCTGTTAACTCATTTTGAGAAGACATGAAGACCAGACCATTTGGAATTACTTGCTGCTTGATTTCTAAGATTTCCTTTATTTATCTTTGTGACAGACACATTAGTAATAATACTAAATGAGTGATGAGATCAAGCCTTTTAAGTATATTTGAGGTCTTACTTTTAAGGTGGTTAATCTAGTAAACAATTTTTTAAAAATCTTTGTGTATATGTTTTTTTATCATTATAAAGTTGAGTAATACAAAAGAGTAAAAGTGAGAAGTGAGTCCCCTCTTGCCTATTCTTGTCCTGTTTCCTTACGTTTCCTGAACACTGGTAATAATTTGTTGTGTGCTCTCAGGGTTTTCTATGTTGGCAGAAACATTTTTTTTTTAATGGACAATGGGATCATACTATTTTTTTTTTTTAAACAAACTGCTTTTTACCTAGCAGATTGTGGGTATATTTCTAGTATATGTATATCTAAGTCATTCTTTTTAATGATTGCAGAGTATTCTTAAATGGATTATGCCAGTCTCTCCCTTGCTCTTTTGCTTGCAGTTCTTTTTTTGTTTTTTTTTTTTTCTTTGCTTTATTTTCCTACAGCTTATTTTTAAAAAATTCTGAAAAGTTGTAAATGTCACTTTCTGAAAAGTTGAAAACACAGTTCACTCATCATTTATATACATTTTGCACATTTGCTTTCTTTTTCTGTAAAAATGTGTATATGTATATAGAAAATGTTTTTTGTACCATTTGAAAATCAGTTGCGGACGTTATGACATTTTAGCCCTCAATACTTCTGAATGTTTTTCTTAAAAACATTTTCTTAGAAACAAGGACTTTCTTGTATAAAATCATAATCCTGTTATCATCCATAAGAAATTTAACATTGATACAATAATATTATGTATTAAATACTTAAAGTTGATATGGTAATATTTAAATATTCTCAGGTCTACCAAAATGTCTTTCATAGCCTCCCGCTCCACCCCACCACCCAAACCAAGGTCCAGTCAAGGATCAGACACTGCATTTTGGACTTCTTTTCTTAACCAGTTTTTTTCCTTTTAAAAACAAATTCAGCTCATAGAAAAATATTTGACAGTACTTAAAAGGGGCATAAGGTAAAAAATTAAATTCTTATCCCCCATGAGATAATCAGTGTTACTAAGGTCTTTTCCGGTATTTGTCTAAAAATTTTCTAGCAGCAGCTATTCTATAAAATCACCGTATTCTGTTGGTCTAGGGCCGCGTGGAGTGCTGGGACCCGAGAACTCGCGGTAGAGTCGGCTTGCTGGACTGTGCGTTAAGCAGCGTCACGGCAGACTCAGAGTAAGTGGGGATCACATGCCATTTAAACATCCATCTGCTTATGATTCAAACACATGTACCAATACTGGATTCAGATCAATTGCTGAAGGATGAAACCCCTCAGACTTCTATCTGAGGTTGTCGTTTCGTCATTTATGTAAAAATCCTTTTCTGGGAAAGGTCGCTAGGTGGGAAAGCCAGACAGAATGCCTTTCTGAGGTGCTACATAGAATGTCTTTTTGTTAGTTGCTGTGGAATGTTACTAAAACAGATACGCTGCCGGAATTCATAGTTCCAGTTCTGTAGGATCTAGTGCTAGAACCAGGAGTCCACCACTCCAGGTAACAAGCCAAAAGGTGTACTTTGAATTCCAAGGTGGAGGGAGACGAGTGTTTTCTGATACCTTCTTGTTCCCGTTTGCCACTTCCTACATTTAAAACAATCAGAAGAGTAATACACACTCGGGGGATGAAAACCTCTACATGCCTGAATTAGGTGAGTATAGGCCCCCTGTCCTTTCTCCACTCACCGGAGTGGTTAGTGTTGCGCCGTTTGGTACATAGGTTTTCAGACATTTTTCTGTGCTCATATTAATATATATGCAGTCTTATACTGTCTTGGTCAGATTCTTTACATGGGATTATTTGCTGTAACCAGTTCAGAAACGTCCTTTCTCTGAGCTCTTGGTATTTGTAGTAATGTGATTTTACTAGCATTTACTCATTTCCGTTGGCCAGACGTTTACCCATAGTTGTATCATGTTGGAGGTGGAGTGTTTGATGGGGGGGCTGCAGAGAGGATGTGAACCCTCTAAATTATTGCCGATTTTTGTGTGATTTGCATTTTTCTGGGGGAGATAAGAATTTATGTAGTTCTTTCTTTTGAAAAACCAGCTTACATAAAGCACCCTTGACTTAGAGAAAAGTTAAGAATTGCTGAATTGGAAGAACGTTTTTTCTAATGTATACATTTTTCCCTGTGTGATAAGTAAAGAATAAGTTAATTTTTTTTCATCTTTTAATTAAGACATTTAATGGGAACGTAGGAGGTGCGGGGATGGACATTGAGGAGGGCACGTGATGTGACGAGCACTGGGTGTTGTATACAACTGATGAATCATTGAATTCTACCTCTGAAACTAATAATACACTATATGTTAATCTAATGTAAATAAAATTAAGTAAAATTAAAAAAATTAAAAAATAGAAGTGTAGGAAATTTTTTCTCTATTACTGAGTTTTACGAAAGTAACAACCAATGAACAACCTCATTAATCATGGTATGGAGTAAACAATTTTATTTTATTTTATTTTATTTTTTTTAAAGATTTTATTTATTTATTTGAGAGAGAGAATGAGATAGAGAGAGCACGAGAGGGGGGAGGGTCAGAGAGAGAGGCAGACTCCCCGATGAGCAGGGAGCCCGACGCGGAACTCGATCCCGGGACTCCAGGATCATGACCTGAGCCGAAGGCAGTCGCTTAACCAACTGAGCCACCCAGGCGCCCTGGAGTAAACAATTTTAAAGTGGAAAAGTTACTCTACATTCATTTTGTTTTGTTCTTACAATTAGACATTTTTATTGTGAATTATAATACACAGACAAAATCTCAAAGCATTAATGTACAGATTACTGAATTACTGTGAAGCTCTGCATTTGTCAATAGAAGAAACCAGGAGAAAATGCTTCTCAACATTTTATTACATTGATATGAAAGGAACCAAATCAGAGAAGTCTGCTTGTTTTTCGAAAGTAGGAAATCAGTTGTAAGTGGAAGCTATTTTCCCACTCCCTAGGAAGCAGAAAAGTTAATTTTCTCTTAATTATAAATGTTAACTTGTTTTTGAATTAAAATAGAGACACTTGGGTTTTGCTACAAGCTCTGTCCTTAACAGTTTCTTCTTAGAAAAGTCATTTGAGAAAACAGGCCAGCAGGAGTTCTTTGTATTATGTCTTAACGGTTATTTTTACAGTAAATTTAATGACTGTAATAGAAGTAACACTATAGAAAATTTAAGGAAGGGATGTGAAAAGATAATCTTTACTGTGATCTTTAGAAATATGGGAGTATTCTGTTTTTTTTTTTTTCTTTACATAGAAGAGTGATTCACAGATTTTTTAGTTTTATTGATTAATTTGACAGAGAGAGAGAGAGAGAGAGAGCACAAGCAGGGGGAGGGGTAGAGGGAGAGGGAGAAGCAGACTCCCCGCTGAGCAGGGAGCCCGATGCAGGACTAGATCCCAGGACCCCAGGATCATGACCTGAGCCGAAGGCAGACACTTAACTGACTGAGCCACCCAGTCGCCCCTATTTTGTTTATTTTAAAAAATAATTTTATTTTGTAAAGCTGATTTATACTGAGTGTAAAAAGATACTAAGCAGTTTCAAAAATACAAGAAAGTAAAATGGCTTCAGCACACACACAGTCAGGTGTAATTCAAGTAACCAGACCACTCTTGGTTGGTGAAGGGTGTTTATAGATTTTCACTATTGTGCATCCACTTGTAGTTAGTTCTAAGACTATTTCCTGAGGGAACATACTGAGAACCTGGATTTCTGGGTGAAATAGCTTTTGTACCCATTGCTAAAATGCCTGGCAGAAAAGGTAACATCAGTTTGAGGATCTCCCTGCCTGTACGGAGTGCCTGTTCTCCCACCCTCCGTCGCCCAAGGTGTCCATCCCATTCTGATAATACTGCAAAGTCAGAAATAGCCCGAGAATACTGATTAAATACAGCTTGGTAAAAATCGTAGCTAACAGATAGTGCTGTTTGCCAGCTAGTGTCCTTAGTTCTTTACATTTACTAACTTCATACTCGTGGCAGCCTTTGATGCAGGTACTCTTATTTATTTTATAGAAGAGGAAAATACTGATCAGTGGCATATGTAAGCTTTTAAGAATTATGTTGCAAAAGTACATTTATTTCTGGGGGAAGATGTTGCAAATATACCGTTAAGTGGGAAAGCAGTGAACATGCTGTAGAGTCGTGGGGAAAACAATCTGGATGTGTACCAAAATGGTACAGGTAGTTTTGCTTGCTGTTTCTGTTTCAGGTGATTTTATTTGTTGACTTTTATATGCTTAGCTTCATTATTTTCTACGCAAGCACTGTAAGCTATCACCTCTGTTATTTGACAGAGGTGGAGTTCTGGAAGGTGGAGCCAATATAATAAAGAGAAAGAAGTGAATGTAATTATCAGATGGGGGGACAGGCTGTCTTTATTTGCAGACGATAACGATTGTCTGCCTGAGAAACTCAGAATCCACTGGAAGATCAAAAAGAACTAATATGAGAGTTAAATAAGTTGGTGATGAAATAAATGTGCAAAATCAGTGGCTTTGAGGTTTAGCAGCAAAATCCAGTTAGGCACAATGGAAAACCGTTCTTACAGCAACAAAAATTGTGAAATTCTGAGGGATAAACTTAATACCTACCTGAAGGAAATGACTGTTAAGGATCAAAAAGTTCGAGTAAGTAGGTGGCACCTGGGTGGCTCAGTCGTTGAATGTCTGCCTTCGGCTCAGGTCATAATCCCAGGGTCCTGGGATTAAGCCCCACATCGGGCTCCCTGCTCCGTGGGAAGCCTGCTTCTCCCTCTCCCACTCGCCCTGCTTGTGTTCCCTCTCTCGCTGTGTCTCTCCCTCTGTCAAATAAATAAACAAAATCTTTAAAAAAAAAAAAAAGTTCGAGTAAGTAAAGAGAACTAACATCCCACTGCACTGACACATGCTCTTAGAGTTCATTTTGAGGAGTAAAGGACTAAAAGGATGGGCATGAGAGGCCTCCGGGTTCCAAACTGGTGCGTCCGTGTGGTTATGGCTTGAGGCTTTAGGGGGCCTGAGAGCCTTGAGGGTGCCAACAGGTCACGGCCTAGATGGTGGGGCCTGGTCCCGAGGACCCGGAGACAGGAGGGACTGAAGTCAGCACTGTTGTCCTCCTCTGACTTGTCTGGTACCCTTTCCACCAGGGAGCATCGCTTGTGGTGCCGATCCTCTTCTTGGTTGCTGAGTGAGAAGCGTGTTCCAGATCTGTGGCCATAACCATTCGTCATACTGTCTCTGTACTTTCCCAGGTTCTAGTCTCCATCTGAGGATTAGTCTTCTATTTTAGCTTGACATAGGCAGCTTTAAAAATGGAAATGGGCATAACCTGCCCGAATATAAACTCATTTCCTCTTAAGCAAAAGGGGATATTTTTGTAAATACCATACCTTGGCTTAATCAAAGTGAAAGATCGTGTCATACTGATCCTTTTCAATTGGTTTTAGAGTTTTATAAACTTTTTTTTTGTAGATACTTTGAGAGTATTTCTTACAGTTTTGAAGAAGATAATCTACAAACTTTTAAAAGCAGATTACATTTACATATAAAGCTTTTTATTTTGATTAAGAAAGTTTAGATACAATTACCTTTTATTTTTTATTTTTTTTTAAAGATTTATTAGAGAGAGAGCATGTGCACAGCAGGGGCAACAGCAGAGGGAGAGGGAGAAGCAGACTCCCCACTGAGCAGGGAGCCTGATGTGAGACTCGATCCCAGGACCCTGGGACCATGACCTGAGCCAAAGGCAGATACTTAACCAAATCAGCCACCCAGGTACCCCTACAATTGCCTTTTAAACATAAGGCCAGATGTATGATTTTCCCCACTACAATTGAAGATTAATAATGAATTTGTTACTTGGAAGGTTTGGCCATGTGTACATGGAATGTGAATGTTTTGCCTTTCAGGATAAACAGTTTACCAACAATCTCTGCTTTGAAATTTAATGGTGCCTTGACCATGGCAGTTGGAACATCCACAGGGCAGGTGAGTATCTCAGAGGCATGTATATATCGTGGGAAACATCCACATATCTGTTCACAGTGGGAACAGAAAATGGAGCATTGTTGTTTTGGCCAGAGTGGAGGGGTACTCTGGAATGCTGTATTCTTTTAGTACCTTGAGAAATTCTGATTCTGGCCATCTGGGTTAGTCTGAGAGGTTCTTGAGCTGGGGGTGTTATGCCTCAGGCATTCTCTTGGCTGTGGTTTAGAACAACATTTTCCAGAGTATGTGGAACAGAATTCTGTGGTCAGCTAAGCTTGGAAATCTGCCAGATTTCTACTCTTGGAGGATCACAGTGCTTTTAAATATATATTGAAGGCTCTGAGAATTCCTCTAGACAAGAAATGTATTCAAAAAGTATTTCCAAAATTTATTTGTCCTAGAAACCTTTTTTTTTTTACTGAGCATCATTGACCACATGCGCAGTAGCATACGTTAGCAATGCTAGTCTGACAAGGATGGATTGAGTAGCTACAGAGGGTTACTTTCATCTCTTCTTTCTTCCCTTCTTTCCTTCAAGGCAGAATGCACACACTTGTAAGTTTGTTCTCCTCTAGAACAGGTCTGAGCGCCTACTTCCAGTGGAGTTTCTACTTCTGTCATTGTGGTCTGCAGAGGATCTGTTAGCAGGGACTGAGATCTAGCTTCTCCAGCCACTTGCCCCTAGTGACAGGGCTCAGAAGAAGCCCCCACTGCCCCCCACCCAACAGTCATGACCTTGCCACCACTCTCTGCTCAGATCTGCCAGATTCTCTTCATTACGCCTGTTATTCTTATTTCTGTCAGTTGCTCTGACAGTGCCTGGTACATAGTAGATCCTCAGTATGTATATTTGTTTTAGTTCACAAATGACACCAACTCTTACAGATTTTTCTTTTGGTTCCTTTCTTAGTGTAGCTCAGTCATTCTCAATCTTAGTGTGCCTAAAAATTACTCTCCGGTTAAGTTCATAAAACCATGTACTCTAAGGGTAATTTAAGAGATTTTTCTAGAGTGTTTTGCTGTCAGACTTTAGAATCTTTGTGCCCTGAGTAAGGTGTTCCTTATGCTCACAAAAAGGCAGTAAAACAAATGGCAGCCATTATTCTAAGTTTTCAAAGTTGCTTTTTAAGATAAAATAATTTGTTTAAACAGAAATAATTTGTTTTCTTTCTTTTAGGTTTTATTATATGACCTTCGATCGGATAAACCATTGCTGGTTAAGGATCACCAGTATGGGCTGCCCATTAAGTCAGTTCATTTCCAGGATTCACTAGATTTGATTTTGTCTGCAGACTCGCGCATTATCAAAATGTGGAATAAGAACTCAGTATGTACTTTTTTGTTGCAGTTACTTATTAGTGTATTTTCCTAATGTTCCTTTTCTTTCTGTTGCCTTGTTTGAGTTATGTGGGCTTTTGAGAAAGAGTGGCCTAGTACCTATCTGAGAGCTTAGTTGGAAGTCATTTACTTCAGCAAAGGTAATATTCGTATGTAGATAAATAGTCAAGACTGCTTTCTTCCTGTGGAGAAGGTGGCCTGGTTTGCTAGAACTGGAATGCCTTTTTACATGTTCAGTTAGGAGGAGAGTAAACCACGTTTTAAAAACATTGCTCCATGAGAACCTCCTAGATCCTGAGGCTCTCTCACAGTCTGGGGAAAGTTTTTATGAGCTACTAATTATCTTTCTATGTCAATGTTATTATGTATCTCGATTTCATACCTTTTAAAACCCATCTCAAATAATTTGGCTTCTAGGTATGACCCCTTTCAATAATTTCTTAGTGTTTTTCTTTTTTAAAAATTTTTTAAAAGATTTTTATTTATTTATTTGTCAGAGAAAGAGAGGGAGAGAGAGCACAAGCAGGGGGAGCAGCAGACTCCCCGCCGAGCAGGGAGCCCAATGTGGGACTTGATCCCAGGACTCTGGGATCATGACCTGAGCCGAAGGCAGACGTTTAACAACTGAGCCATCCAGGCATCCCTCTTAGTGTTTTTCTTAAACACATTATTTTCTTAAGAATATTTGATGTGGGGCACTTGGGTGGCTCAGTCAGTTAAATGTGTGACTTTTGATTTCAGCTCAGGTCATGATCTCAAGGGTCGTGAGATTGAGCCCCGCATCGGGCTCCATGCTCATCAGGGCATCTGCTTCTCTCTCTCTCTCTCTCCCCCTCTGCCCCTCCCTCCCCTGCTCATGTGTGCTCTCTTTCTCGCTCTCAAAAAAAAGAATATTCGATGTTCTTTCCCCTCAATTCCAAGTGTCATTTAAGAAGTAACAAAAGCCTGCATTTCTGGTTTTCATCTACCCTACGCTATTCATATTTTGTTTTAAAACTCTAAGGTATTTTGAGAGAGTGAAGATCATTTTGTCAACAAAATGGGAAAAACTCAGTATAGCAAGTGCTTTTTTTTTTTTTTTTTTAAGACTTTATGTAGAGAGAGAGTGCAAGTGGGGTGAGGGGCAGAGGGAGAGGGAGAGAGAAGCTGAAGCAGACTCCCTGCCGAGCGTGGAGCCTGACGCGGGGCTCGATCTCACAACCCTGAGATCATGACCTGAGCTGAAATCAAGAGTCAGACGCTTTAACTGACTGAGCCACCCAGGTGCCCCAATACAGTAAATGCTTATAAGAGTTCTTTGTATTTAATTAATTACAAACGTCAGTGTCTTAGGTAAAAAGTGTTACTTCCTTTTTTTTTTTTTTTAATTCATTTTGGAGGTGAGGTGGGGGGAAGGTCCAGCGGCCCGAGCGGTAGTTGCTGGGGAGCGAGCGTCAGTCTTTCCCGGGGCTGCGTGTGCTCGGGACGGAGGTGCTGCTGCAGCCCCGTCACGCTGGGCTATGTCCCAGAGTCCCTGGCTGCTTGGACCGTAACTTGTGTTTTTAGTTTTCTTTTGGTTCACTCCCAGAGTACTGGCCTTTCATTGTTGTGTCTTGGATTAGAATTTGGCTGCAGCTTTTCACTGAGCGTGCGGTAAGCGCCTTCCCCAGGCCCTGACTCTAGCCCACTGCTTCGCCATGTGCCACGCGCCCCTCTGATGGTGCGTTAATAAAGGCAGGAGCTGACCAGCTTTGTCAGCATCCGTTCTTGAAATTACGTTGCTGTAGTTGCTGCAGTGCGTTTTATTTTGGCGTTGTTGCTATGACTAAAGACGCCCTCAACCAACACCCAGATTGCTTGGTTTTGCTTGACTTGCTCTCCGTATTTACCTTTCTCATCACCTTTTCCCCTCCTGTCTTATCTTCTGCCTGTTTTTTTACTGTCCACTTTTTTAAAATACAGCACCTCTCTCCCCTACCTCCACATTGAATATGAAAGTGTCAGCCTTTCCTGTGTAACTAGCAAGTTGTGTGTTTACAGGATTTTGTTTTCTGAGTTATTTTCTTTTTTTTTTTTTTTTAAAGATTTTATTTATTTATTTGAGAGAGAGAGAAGGAGAGACAGAGAGCCTGAGAGGGAGGAGGGTCCGAGGGAGAAGCAGACTCCCTGCCGAGCAGGGAGCCCGACGCGGGACTCGATCCTGGGACTCCAGGATCATGACCTGAGCCGAAGGCAGTCGCTTAACCAACTGAGCCACCCAGGCGCCCCTCTGAGTTATTTTCTACCCATGCTGTCCCTCGACCTTCCTCAGAGCTTTGTGATCTAGATGTGGCAGATCTCATCCTCATCTGACCCTGTTAACCATCTCCCATTCTCTGCTTTCTTTGAGTACAAGTTTAACCGGGCTGTGTCTTCCAGATTAGGAGAATTTTTCTAAGTTGATGTACAACTGTATCTTAAGCTTTACCCATTGCTGCTCTGGGAACATTATCTATGAAACTATGTATTTCCTTGGATAAGTCCCCTTTCCCCCATAGGCCTGTTTCTCCATCTCTGAAGGGAAAGCATTTGATAAATTGATAAAAGGAATTCTGTACCATTTTTGAAACTTAAATTCTGTGCTTTGAACTAGGTGATGTTATTTCTTTACATAGCAGTATATGGTTATATGGTTATGTCAGATCTCTGGTTTATTTTTTTTACTCAACATTGCTAAAAGTTGTCTTCCTTCAACTATTTTAATAATTCCTTTTTGCTTTTTCTTTTAGGGAAAAATATTTACTTCCTTGGAGCCAGAACATGACATTAACGATGTCTGCCTCTATCCCAACTCAGGTATGCAGTAGGTAGCGGTAGGCCATTCAGTGGGATAAATCTAGGCTGTGCTTTATGGGGTTTTAAACTCATTTCATTTCTTCAGACGAGGTTTGGCTTGGTCAGGACAATTCTTGGATATTATATTTACTGGAAGAATCAAGTGCAGGAAGTGGTATGGATGATTCAGAAAATGGCAGTCTCAGTGACTCAGTCCTTAGCCAGCCTAGCTATTAGTAGAAACCAACAATACATAGGCAGGTGGCAGGTGAGATGCTATTTTAGTGTGCTCTTCACTCTTTTATGTGATTAGTAATAGTGTGTGGAAATTGAGGTCAAGGATTTGGAAAAGGCTGGGATTGCCTGATGATCCACAAGGCTCATGAAGCCGTGGTTTCTGGTGTCTTCTATGTTGTATGCTATTCCGCTTGCGTCATTTATTTCAAGACTTACGATACCTTCAAGACAAATCTGTGAAGAATTTTGGGGTACAAAAGTACAGAACAGTCCCTGCTGTCAAGCAGTGTTATATTCTGAGGATAGATGTACACAGATAATTTTAATAGAGGGATACAAGGCAAAGCAGGAAAAATTCTGTTATGTACAAACAGCACTTTGACAGCATGTTAGAGCGAGGGGTTTCAGCCAGCGCCACTGGGGAGATCGCAGAGGAGATGTTTGTCTGCATGTGTTTGGAGTGATGAGTGAGATTTGGTAGGTGGGGTGGGGAGATGAGATGATCCACGTGAGGGAGCAGTGTAGGAAGGGCAAGAAGGATAGGGTACAATAGGTACCATAGGGTACCGTTCATGGGGCTTGTTTGGGAAAGGAGTGGAGCCTTATGTGCTCTGATGAGCCCTGGTGGCTCTCGCACGAACAAAGGCGGCGGAGGTCCGGGAATCACATGCTGAATGGTTTGGGCTCAGTTTGTAGTCAGGAGCTGTTCAGACTGCTTTCAGAAGACGGTTCTGTCCATCATGTAAAGAGTAGATTGGTGTGGAACTGAAATGAGTAGGAAGGGACACTCTGAGCCGATTGGGAACACAAGAGACCGAGCAAATTTAGAGAGAGAGAGAGATTGTTTTCTTGTTTAAACATTCGAACAGCAGGAGGGCTGTAGGTCAGTGACAGTGTCTGGCAGAGGGTCTCACACCTGACTGCTCATCGGTATCACCCAGGGAGGCTTTTTACAGATCCCTTGGCTGGATCCCCGATCCGGCTGACTAGAGTGTCTGTGGGGAGGGCCCAGAAGTGTGTGTGTGTGTGTGATGTGCTTGCCAAGTGCTCGGGAGGCCCTGCCCCGACCCACCGCCTTGCAGTGGGAGCCAGGTCTAGTGCATGGGACGAAGTGTGGTCTCGAGAGAAGCAGGTCTGCACTTACGGCGTTTGCAGACGTGTAAGCTGAGGTGGTTTCGGGAGAAGTGGGAGCGTGTGAGATCACCATGGGGAAGTGTGGAGAGCAGCACCTGAGTCCATTTAGAGGGGGAATGAAAAGCAAGAGCCAGCTGAGAAGCCTAACAGGAACGGACAGGACACCAGTAAGGGAAGTGACAGTGTTTGAAGTAGGGCAGAAGCTACGGTGCGAGCGGGTGGGCGGGCGGGCGCTGCTCGGCGCGTGTGAGGGCCGCCGAGGTTGAGGCAGGAAGGAAGGAAGAAGTTCCCGTGCTCCTGTGCTGCTGGGCACGGTGATAACCACGTATCATTCGTCTTTCCAGAGCCCTGGGTAGTTAGTGGTGCACACGGGTTTTTCTTTCTTGTCTGTCTGCCAGTCTCTTCCATCTTAGGAGGGGGGACCAGTTGGGTAATTGGGCTGGAGTTGGTCGCCCAGCGGGTGTGTGGCAGGGCCTCGGCTAGAACCAGCCTTTCCTGGTTCTGGAGCCCTTGCCCTTTCTAGTTCCGCGCTGCTCTCCCAAGAAAGATGGGAAACTGCATTTTTGTGATCAGCTGTGTATCTGTGATCATTAAGAGGATTTCACGGCAGTAGCAGGGGTGAAGTCAAACTCTGACGGTTTCAGGAATAAATTGCAGATGAGGATGGTGGGGTCCCAGTTAGAGAGTCTTAGACGGTCTGAAATGGGGTCTGAGCTGCATGCGAAGGTGAGTAAAACCAGGTGGGATTGAAGTCGAAACAAGGGTGGCGAGCAGGTTTCGCTGGATTGAAGGGGAGAGTTTGAAGGGGCAGCTGGTGCTGAGAGCAGGAAGCCTTGTGGCTGCTTGTGGCCCCTGAGAACTGGCAGTGCACCTCATCTGGGCTGAGATGTGCTCTACGTGTAGGATACCAGATTTCAAAGACATTGTACCGATTAAAAAATAATGTGAAATAGGGGCGCCTGGGTGGCTCCATCGGTTAAGCCTCTGACTCTTGATTTCAGCTCAGGTCCTGATCTCAGGGTCGTGAGATCGAGCCCTGCATCTGGCTCCATGCTGGGCGTGGAGCCTGCTTAGGATTTTCTCGCTGCCTTTCCTTCTGTCCCTCCCTGGCCCTCCCCCTACTCGCGTGCATGTGTCTGTACACATGTGGGGTTGCTCTCTTTCTTAAAAAAAAAAAAAAAAAAGTGAACTAGATCTTTAATTTTTTTATGTGAAAATATTTCAGACATACTGGGTTAATAAGATATATTAAAATTCATTTTACCTGTTTAAAAAAAATTTTTTTTAGGGCGCCTGGGTGGCTCAGTTGGTTAAGCGACTGCCTTCGGCTCAGGTCATGATCCTGGAGTCCCGGGATCGAGTCCCGCATCGGGCTCCCTGCTCAGCGGGGGGTCTGCTTCTCCCTCTGACGCTCCCCGCTTTCATGCTCTCTCTATCTCATTCTCTCTCAAATGAATAAATAAAATCTTTAAAAAAAAAAAATTTTTTTTTAAATGTGTCTACTAGAAAACATGAAATCCCACGTGTGGCTTGCATAGTATTCCTGTCGCACGGTGCTGGCCCAGACTTGGGGATCTTGCCCAGTGTAGGATGCTGCTGAGCTGCAAGGTATTGAAGTCGGCTGCGGGCATGCCGCGTCCGTCTTGTTGGAGCAGGGACGTTCCTCTAGGAGTCCGCGTACCACCAGCCCACCTAATAACTCTAGTTCCTTAGTAGACATCCAGTCCATTCTCGCATTCCCCATTGTCCCCCAGATGCCTTTCATAGCCTGTTGTTTGGAACCAGGCTGTATTCAGGACTGTGTGTTACTTCGAGGTGTGGCCATGTTTAGTTTCTTTCTTTTTTTTTTAAAGATTTTATTTATTTATTTGACAGAGAGAGACACAGCGAGAGAGGGAACACAAGCAGGGGGAGTGGGAGAGGGAGAAGCAGGCTTCCCGCAGAGCAGGGAGCCCGATGCGGGGCTCGATCCTAGCACCCTGGGATCATGACCTGAGCCGAAGGCAGACGCCCAACGACTGAGCCACCCAGGCGCCCCTAGTTTCTTTTAATCGTAACAGCTGTGTCCCCGACACCCGTCTTTTTTTTTTTTGGCCTTCTTCATGACATGGACTTTTCCAGGATCAGGTCGGTAGTCTCAGAGAATGTCCCTCACCCTGGATTTGTGTGGCTGGTTTTCATAGTCCCTGGGTTAGGGAGATCACGAGGTCTTTTCATTCCAAAGTACACTTTTCTGAGAGGTAAAAATGTTAAGAGTGATGTTTTGGACAGAAGAACGAGTTGACTGTCATATAACTTGCAAGAAGTGAATCAAACACAAAAAATAGCCAAATAATTTATTTCCTGAGCTGGCAGGCACAGTAGGACAGGTAGCCCGGCTGCCGCCTTGGGGTTTGGATGTGAGCAGGCTTGATTCACGCGCTTCGCTGCTTTCCGTCGCTCCGCTCCTTTCCCTTTAACGCTGCTCTTTGTGCTTTGTGCTTAATCATCGTGAGCTTAATCATATTTTAGAAAAGCTAACACTTTCTTCTTTCTTTATCTTCTCACTTACTCATTTTGAAGTAATTAAAGCCGAATCACGATTACTGTTTTGTCCTGTTTCTCTAATATGGAGGTGGCTCAGAATATTGAGAAATGGTGCCGCCTTCCCGGCTCCTTCCTCCATCCTGCTTGTGTTGCTCATTCCACCTGGCTCCAGCGTCTCCGCTTTCTGCCCAGAAAGCCCGGACGGAGGCCGAGTGTTCCTGTCATGTACCCGTGTGGGCCTCAGCTGCCATCAAGCCTCCGGAGACTGCCTGCACTGGGAGGGGGAAGGCCACACGCTCCACGCCGACATGGGGGGGGTCCTCCTCTCGGGCGCGGTCCTGAACGCACAGGCTATCTGCCCCACACTGTTCACGGCCGTGACCGCTGCTGGCGTCTGGTGTGCGCGTGTCTGAAGGACTGAGATCTTGTCTTTCCTTCGTGTTGGAGTTTCCAACCCGTGGCAGCCCGATACTTTCCTAAACGTGATAAAAATGAATTACAAGGAAAAGACAATGTCACAAGGCTACACGGGTTTCTAAATTCTTCCCTTCTGTTGCTACGCTTCCCGCCGGGCTGGGCCCCAGTTTGCACACCGGCCCTGGGAGTGGACTCAGTAGCACTGGCAGAGAGCACCGTTTCGGATTTTGAACTCTGAGCCTCAGTGGATCCTTTAGCCCCTGCAGCACATGCAGGTGAGAATCGATGTGTGCACGCTTCCTGGGAGGGCCCTGCTATCCCATCCGATTCTCTATGGCTGTCCCGTGAGGCCGCACAGCACAATGGGTAGCACTCGCAACGGCGGGTATCAGACTCGAGGTGGCGGGTTCTTCTGACTCTAGGCACTGAGCGTCTCCCTCTCTTTCAAAATTGATAGTGTCATTGTTGAAATATAATAAGTAGGGCGCCTGGGTGGCTCAGTCGGTTAAGCATCTGCCTTCGGCTCGGGTCATGATCCCAGGGTCCTGGGATCGAGCCCCGCATTGGGCTCCCTGCTCAGCCGGGAGCTTGCTTCTCCCTCTCCCACTCCCCCTGCTTGTGCGCCTCTCCCCTCCCACCCCCCTGTCAAATAAATAAATCTTAAAAAAAAAAAAAAAGAAACTATAATAAGCATCACTATGAAGGAAACTGGGGAGGAAAAACCATTCATAATTCCACCATCTCTTCCCAAGTACTGTTACTGTTTCCACGAGAGAATTCTTGTATTCATCTTGTGTTCATATGTTTTTAGTCGTGGTCCTCATGCTACATGTACAGTTGTCTTTTGCTTTCCGGTTGACATTATATTAACATTTTTCTTCTTGTTGTATGGTGTTTATACTTGTACTTCTGAAATTTTTTATTATTTGCAAGAAGCCGTTTCATTTTTTCTTAGTTGTGATTGTGGTTGGAGAGTCCTGCGTTCCACGGGCTTTGGAATCGGTGGAATATCAGCTTCTCTCCTTCTTAGCTGTGTGGTGACCTTGAGCAAATCATCTAACTTTCTGAGGCCACATTGTTATCTGAAAGTAAAGTTCCTGGCACAGTGCCTCACACTCTTCTCCTCTCTTGCCTGTGATCATCTTAACTTCTGCTGAACTAACTTTCTTTTACTGATTTAATGGATTTAATTTTTTTCGGCTTTTTGTTCTTGGGCTTTGTGAGGTTGCCTGTTTTTCTTTCTCATTCATAATTGGTTTCAGTCCTGACCTTCCCCACTTTAGTTTGGTAGGAGGTCAGCTTGTATCATTGTTCATATATGGTCAGGTGAGATCCTATTCCGTTGTGAAAACAGCCTGCTTTGTCTAGTCTGGGTTCTTTGGGGGTAATTAGATGAGAGGCTTCTCTCTGGTTTGTTGGGTTGGTGTGATTGCGTTTCCTTGCGGAATGTCATCGTTGAATGATCCGTGTTCAGAGTCGAGCCAGTGAAGCCAGGCTTAGAGAATATCTTCGGCAAGAACCTTTTTTTGGTTGTAATCTGTCTCCTCAGTCCCCACAACGACCTCTTTCATCGTGTCTAAAGAGTGCAGGAGAAGGTTTGCCTCTAAAATCCTCTAGCTTGTGACAGGGCACTCGGTCCCTTTGAACTTTTTTTTTCATCTGTAAAATGAGGATGTTGTTATTTCTTATTTCAGAGACTTGTTGCATGTTCACCAAGGTAATATCTGTGAAGGCGCTTAGTAAGTTGTAAAGAACTCCCCAGACGGTTGCTGATTTCAGTTGTATGGAAAGTGCGACATTCTGGAACAGGGGCTGGGAAGACTGGCGCTGCTTCGGGAGGCTTGTGGGGAGGAGAAGGTTGCAGATGCGGCAGAGAGCAGAGAACAAAACTGGAACAGAATCATGGGGTCACTGGGTGCTGTTTGTCCTGTGGTTATGGGGATGCCTTCACCGAATGCCAGGAACTTTTCCCATACTTCAGTTCTGCTTTCCTAAAATGCGGATCTGTTTGTTGAGTCTGTTCAAATCCCCTTGCTAGTGAATTAGTTGGGTAGAGTAAGGGCTGTTAGATGCTGTATGGGTCTTGCCTGGTGTAGCTACAGCGATAGTGGTCCCCTTAAGTCCGTCGTTTTGTTTGCAATTCAGGTGTGAAGCTTAATGCAAACCTTAGGAACTACTTTGCTGTGACATTTTGTGGGAGTTGCTTTGCCTTGGTTCTTTGATTCCTGATTAACAGAAAGAAGCCTTTTTTGCTTAACTTCTTCATTATTATCATTATTATTATTATTATAAATATTGCACCCGAACTACGTTTTATGTGTCTGAAGTGTCAGACTCTCCCCCTTAAGGATAATCGCAAACTTGATGTAGACCTGAGCACATAGCAGAAACTGCTTATTTACTTGGCTAGTACAGCTTGAGCATTTTGCAGGTGGGGAAGCTGGTCTTCATGATACTTAAGGTGCCCCATCTAGGAGGATAGAGACTGGAGCCCATGACCTGATTCCTAGGGTGCCCGGCCTCCAGGCCCAGCTCTTCTGCCATGTGCCGTCTTCTGAGCACCCAGAACATTTCCAAGTGTAAAACAAATGGAAAAGGGCACCTTTTTCTTCCCCATGTGTTTACTTTTTCATTGTATTTATTTTTAGGGATGCTTCTTACTGCCAGCGAAACCCCCAAGATGGGCATCTATTACATTCCGGTAAGTAATACGAATAGTAGTTACGGTAAAAATAGGATAAGCAAAGACAGTTTATTTTTAAACTGGTTGTATTGAAGGCCTTTGTGTCTGCATGCGGTTGGGTAAATTAAACATATTGGACTCACTTGTAGTTTCACTTTGCTTCCTGGAGCTAGGAAAATAATGCCTCACCATTCTTTTATGGGAAACTGCTTCCTGTCACATTAAAATACACATTAGGAATTAGTTTTTGTTCTTCAGATTTACATTTGGTTTTTGTTTCCAAGTATTTCAGAATCTTGAGCTTTAAGCTGTTAGTGATCAGGAGGTCTGATTCTAAACCAACAGCCTGGTGCCCTTCAGTCATCTTGTTTCTCTTACAAGTAAGTTCTGCCTGAGGAAACTCTCAGATGGGCCTGGTCAGTGGTGGCCTGCAGTCACTGGCCTGGCCTTTTATTCTTCCTTCAAGAATTTTCTTGCATATGACAGAAGCTTCCCTACCTTTACCTTTTAGATTACAGGAAGAAAAAGACATGGGGATGTAGGATCTCCTAAACCGAAAACCACGTAGGACAGAGTCGGCACTAGATTACTTTTCGGCCGGTAAACAGCTCCCTTTCTGAGATTTGGGGAGAAGAGGGTGGGGGTGAGGAGTGTTGCAGAGCAGGACTTGGGGCAGGTAAACTCTGTAGCTGCTGTCAGCCTCCAGTTGGGAAGGTTCTTCGTATTTACGATTGTCCTTTTGAAATAGCTTAATGGTGTATTTCCCCAAAAAAGTGTTCTGGTGGATGTCGACTCTCTGTGGTTTCAGGAAACTTGTAAGTTGTTGAAAGCACTTTGAGATACTTCTTTTGGTTGTTAGTGAAACAAAGACCATTCTAGCAGCAAACTTTCATGTTTTTCTAAGTTGTCACTTGTTCCATTTTCCCCAGCCTCTCCGATACTGCTTCTGTATTCCTGTCAGTTTGTCCGTCTTCTTGATTGCATCAACTGTGAGTCAGGTCCGATACTGAATGCCGGCAGGGCGATGGTGTGTAGAAAGAACACTGCCCCTTTCCTCAAAGGAGTTCACTGGCAGGGAGTGAAGAAAGGAGGCAGTTCGAGTCCAGCATGAGGAGGGCTGTCATGGGAGGAAAGAGAAAAAGAGAAGAGAACCAACCAGTGGAGGGGGGTGGTTTAAGGGCACGGAGGGCCGCATCAGGAGGCCCGCTAAGAGGATAAGGAACCACAGGCCTCAGAGCCCAGAGCTGCGTGCTGTGGAGCCAGGAGGGGCCATCCTGAGTGCTTGTGTGCTAGGGCCACCTCCCTCGTCTGTGCTCCACAGGTGGCAGTGGGGACAGGATTGGAAGATAGGCTTGGCCGCTGATGGGACACGGGGATGATGGGACACGGGGAGTAAGAGAGAGGAGGGACCAGAGACTGCAGCCCTTTTTCTGCTTGGGGAACAGGTGGACGAGGAGGAAGAGGACAGGGAATAGTAAAAATTATTATCCCTTTGGCATCCTTTTCTACATTTTATAAAATGATCTTTAAAAGGAGCAAGCACACAACATTGATTAGACAAACAATGTATCATGTTTCTATTTATTCCAAGTGTTTTACAAAGTATAAGGAAATAGAAACCACCCATTTCCCCTTGATAGTATTAAAAACACTATTAATACTGGGATGTAGTATTTTTCAGTTGTGATGTTACTGGTGTGAAGTCGTATTTTGTATACAGATTTGTCCCTGGTTTCTTCAGTTAACTTCAGAAAGGCATTAAAAGTACCTAACACATTTTTAGTTGTCTCTGTTGTTTTGCTTTCATATTAATTGCCGTGTCATTAGCACACAGTGTGACATTGTAGGTGTGCGGGACGGGGAGCAGCACTTCCGTCCATCGCTCTGTGCTCCCCACGAGCGCACTCTCGGTCCCTTTCCCCTCTGTCACCCATCCCCCCGGTTATCTGCATTCGTTTCCATTGCCTGGCTTGTGACATTTATATCATCTTGACCTGTAGGAGACCCATTATTCATTTCTCACTCTCTCTGGCTCTTGGGGTGGGCTTTTTTTTGTTCCAAGTAATAGGGACTTTAATCAACATGAATGATAAGGGCTAGTGCTGGCCAGGTGGTGAGAAACTGCTTTCGTGGCACATGTTAGCCTATCTTAGAAGACCTTTTTAGTTTCTGCTTTGTAGCCTGGAGTTAACCAGGGCTGTGAAGAAAGCCCACAGGGCAGCTCCCAGGTGGCTGCATGTGGCGGCAGTGGGGGCCTGGTGTCCTTGCCCAGCTTAGCACTGTGCTGGGACTTGTACTCAGTGCTCCTTCCTGACCTGCCTTTTTACCCTGAGCTGCATGAGCTTTTACAGTGCCCTCGCCTTTACTTGGAACCTGTTCTTTTGTAAGACTCATTCAGAGCAAGGAGAGAGCCCAGGGGTCTGAAAGCCTGCCATTTTTCATAAGATTTTATCAAACTTACCAAGCTGATATTTGGCACAGCGGTTTGTTTGAGGCCTATAAAACTGGGGAAGTGTGTTTTTAATATACAATTTGTGCCAAATTTAGGAGGTTTGCATTGTGATTTGTTTTAACATCTTATAAATCAGGTATGAAAGCTCTTTTTCCCCCTGCTTTGGGCCTGTACTAAAAAAGGAAGACCGCTTAATGTTCTTTAGTTTAAGTTTTGTGTCTCTATCTGATACCATTTTCTTGAATACTTGAAGTCTGTATAGATCAGATGTAATTCCTGATGTATACACTTTGCCGTGTACGGAACCCCATAACTGACTAGTCTTTCATGGCCAGGTGGGTTTTCTCCAGCCCTTTCCCTGTTTTTTTCAGTACACTCCTTTTTTTTTCCCCCTCTCAGAGACCAGGAAGTGTTACTTTGCCTGTTTGTTCGCATTTTAAATTCCACTGTCTAATTCAACTGCAGCTTCTGACACCAATGCCAGGAATAGTTTTTTAGGTTTGGTTTTCCCTGCAATGTAATTTAATCTTAGGGTGGTTTTTTTATGATTAAACCTTTGGCAACTGTGTGGATTCTAGAAGGAGTCCAAGTGTTCTGTGGCACCCAACTCAAAACCCAGCCAGTGTGGGTTAATATTGTTTCCGTTGGAGATGACCCTGAGTTCCAAGCCCCCAGTGTGCCAGGAGCTCCTGAAACCCCTCACGACTGGAGAGTTGATTGCACGCTTGATAATATGTATGGATGTGTAACCTTGAGGAAAAATGTACAAGGAAAATGCATCATTATTTGTTTAGGAAGCTATTTGATTTAGAAGAATAAAAGTCAATTAAAGATCTATTTTTAGAACATGCAGGGGCACCTGGGTGGCTCCGTCGGTTAAGTGTCTGACTCTTGATTTTGGCTCAGGTCATGATCTCAGGGTCATGAGATCTGAGCCCCACATTGGGCTCCGTACTGGGCTTAGAGGCTGCTTGAGAGTCTCTCTCCCCCTCTCCCTCTCCCGCTCAGAAGCCCTCAAAAAAAAAAAAAAACCCCAAAACAAACAAAAAAATAAAACATGTAATTTAAGCCACTATCAAGATTATATGCAGTGTCACTGAACCCAATAGTCAATATTGGTAGTTAAGTATTTTAAAACACTTTCTTAGGAAAAAAGACAACTATTGTTTTATTGAAATGTTTTTATTATTCATAAAAAATCAGCCAAGCATTAAATATTTTAACATTCACTATTTAAACGTATGTTTTAAATTTGGAAAGTATTTTTGGAGCCAAAGTACCTGAAAATGGGGCAGGATTTCGAATATTATAAGTCCACAATTTGAAATATTACAAATAAAAACAATATTCAAATAAAAACATAAAGGATTGGGGCACCTGGGTGGCTCAGTCGTTAAGCGTCTGCCTTCGGCTCAGGTCATGATCCCTGGGTCCTGGGATCGAGCCCCGCATCGGGCTCCCTGCTCTGTGGGAGGCCTGCTTCTCCCTCTCCCACTCCCCCTGCTTGTGTTCCCTCTCTCGCTATGTCTCTCTCTGTCAAATAAATAAGATCTTTTAAAAAAAAAAAACATAAAGGATTATATTTAACCTGCCCTAGCACTTTTGTTTCTGTTGGGAAATAGCACTGGAACTCAGCCAGCATAATGCATAAAACTCATAAAACTCTGTCTTTGCAAATAGAGATAACTAGGTGTTAAGAAGCATAAACGCTCAAGAATACTTGCTTCATTTAATTATAAAAACATACACACACACACACACACACACACATCTTCACAAAGGCATGAAAAGCCAAGGGAAATAAAACATTTTTTAGTTGTGAAATGTAATAAAAGCCTCAAACTAAAGAATGAGTGTAAGTCTCTTCACTTCATTGAGTTATCACCAATCCTGAAAGGCCTGTGGTAGAGCCTTGGGCATCTAATACTATCACTGGGTTCATTGCTCCTGTCTTCATAGGGCCTTAGTCACTGGTTTGGGTCAAACGTCCGTGCTGTGGTCCTCAGGGAGGCACACTGTCAGTGAGTATTGCCTGGTTTTGGGGGGGGTCAGTGCTTTTGAAATCAGTTGTAGCATTTGGAAGTTACTCTTAGGAAGTGGCATGAAAACTTTCTAGTCACCCTATGGATGCTTGCGTTTGGGCGCATTGGGTGGTTGCTCCAGCAGAGGATTAAAAACGAGTACTGGAATTTTCTCAGTATTTTCTGCTTGATAGACTTGTGTGACCAAAACAAAGAAACTTCGGTACAAATGATTTTGCCTGCTCTGTCTGTGGCAGATTGAATTTGTTAGTCTAGTTCTGAACTCAGTCACTCTGTTAGATTGGTACAGAGGCATTTCTGGATACTTGTTGTTCATTGTTATGTGGCCACTCTCAGATACGGCATCTTTTTTTTTAAGTCCAGGATTTCAGATATTACTGCTCTGGGGTGCTTTGGCATAATTTTTCAGAAGACTTAGGAACATAGCCAGAGAGTGCTTCCTAACAATTGCTCCTTACCTTCACCTCTTAAGAAGACAACATATTTTTATTGGTTATCCAAATTGTAAATAAGTTATATTGTTA